CTGACTATAGACGATCAATCAACCGAGTGCTCTGTTATATGGCTCATGGTAGTGATTGCTCAAGGAGCCATCATTGCGATATTGACAGCAATTGTTGTTTTTGGATTTCTACGGTCAAACACGAGACGCAAGGGTTAGGAAACAGAATCAACTTGGAAATGTTAAATGTGCATGGCTGAGTGTTAAGCTGACTACTTTCGCAGCTGTAGTATCGAGATTAAGGAGGCTGGATATAGTTTTACACTTTTCTGATTCAAGATATTTAAACTAAAATTACGAAGCTTAGCTTTGACCAATGGCAATCACATTTTCCCCTGAAATAAAGATATTATTGAAGGATCAGGACGTTATAAATATATTGAACACTTCGTTGCCATGGCAACGTTGTTGGGTTGCAATGCTGGGTCCAAAATTAGACTTGACTTGAATTTTCTTAAAAACTGGACGGTGAATTTATTTTAGATTTTGTATGCGTTCCTTGACTGTCTTGGTCTACTTGACTGTTAAGTTTAAAAAAAATTATGTGGGAAAGTTTAAGGAAAAGAGGCCTTTTTTAGAGTTCATCTTTAACTTTTTTTCCCTCTGACAGAACTTTTTCGAATTTTTGTAAAACACGCACAGCACCGTTCAAAGCTAACGCGCAAAAAATTACAAAAATTCACCGAGCGGAAACGGAAATACGTAAGTATAAAAATTCAAATTTCCGAAAATCTCGACTCGACAAGATGGGCAATTGTGCATGCGCAACATTTGTGTCACGCCACGACACTTGCCACGAACGCCACGAGGTTTTGGACGTCTTGTTCGCCGAATGTCCTTCGCGCTCTTCTAAAGAGCTTTGTTTTGCTAAGAGAGGTTTTCCTTATGGGTAGATTGCGCCTGGAAATGGCTGCTGCTCTATTTGCCTTCAAAGTGTTGGATTATTTTGTGCAAAGTGTCGGGATGTTTTTTTCCTCTTGGAGCTGATCGACGCGACGTGGTTGGCGATTTGCTAAGAATGGAGACCAGTGCCTCCTTCCCACCGTTGTTGTAAAGATCTTTTAAGTCATCGTAACACAGACCGCTTTCTGCAATTTTCTGAATGATGTCTTCTTTGAGGAGGAGCCCGTTAACGCCCTGTGAATAGAGCTTGTCTTTGAAAGTTTACATGCGTTCGTGGCTTCCGTCAAGAAATTCCATGTCTTTCAAAGCGAAGGAGGTGGATTTCACATTGCTGCTGTTTACAATGTCAGTGCTTGTTAGCTGCAACGGGGATTGAAAGAGGACACAGTGGAGGGCACGTACATCTTCCAAAGCATCGTGTGCGTTGAAATCTTCATAAAAGACAGCTTGATACACAGAATGGAGATTACTTTTACATGGTTTTCGGTCAGAATTGAGAAGAGCATTACCACCTTTCGCGAGTGTTTTGATGAGTGTAAGGCTATCGGCGAAAAACACTTTCTTCGACGATTTTTTTTT